TATGAGATTAAGAGAATTACTGGAATAGTGAATACAACTTTTTATCAGTAAATGTTTAATATAGAGAAACAATTATTATGCTAAAAAAAACCTCTATATCTAAAATTACGGAAAGGCAGAATAAATGATCAGATCTATAACTATATTAGAAATTCAAAGTCAGGCATGGTAGCTCACGCCTATAATTCCAGGATTTTAGGAGGCTGAGGTGGGCGGATCACTTGAGACCAGGAGTTTGAGACCAGCCTGGGCAACATGATGAAACTCCATCTCTACAAAAAATAGAAAAAGTAGCCAGGCATAGTGGGGCATGCCTGTGGTCCCAGGGAGGATGAGGTGAGAGGATAAACTGAGCCCGGGGAGGTCAAGGCTGCAATGTGCTGTGATCACGCCACTGCACTCCAGCCTGGGGAAGAGAGTGAAACCGTATCTAAAAAAAAACAAAACAAGAAATTCAAATGTTTGCTAATTTTCTACCATCTACCACTAAATAGGCTATCAAGCTTAGTTATTTTACAGACCAGCTGTGTACAGCCTATAAGGATCAGATAATTTCTATGATTCTTATTATCCTACAGCATAAAAAAGATGAAGCACTTCTAATATCTTTTTCAAAGGCAACATATAACCCAAATTTGATGTGAGAATAAAGAAAAATATTACTCAAAATGCTCACTTATAAACAGGTATGTAATAAAATCCTGAATAAAATACCAGCAAATCAAAACCTGAAGCATAGAAAACAGGATTGTTACTACTGTCTGCGTGACCTTAGGCAAATTACTTCCCATTCCTCTGTCTTAGTTTCTTCATCTGTAGCATGATCATTACAGTACCTACAGCATGGGGTTGTTATAAAGATTAGATAGGTAAGTAGAAACTCCTTAAAATAGTGCTTGGCACATGGCAAATGATCAATAAGTGTAAACTATTATTACCCCAAGAACAAAAAGGCAACATAATCCACTGTGTTATAATTTTAAAGTGAAAAATAAAATACATAAATATGAAAACCAGGTAATTTTTGGCAGACATTTTTTAGAATGAAACAGATACAAAAACCAATCTCTTAAACATGAGAAAAGTCACAAATTATACTAAGTGTTAAAACACTGTTCATTCTCATTAAATTAAGTAATATAACAAAAATGTTCAAAGTTAACATGATTTTCCGTATTTTGGAGCTTACACTAATGCAATAATGTAAGACAGCAAATACTGGAAGAGGTGAGGTAATTATTTGCAGATGATATATAGGTAGAAAGTCTAAGTAAACCAATCTCTATTAGGATAAACGTAGTGAGAAATAAACATAGTAAGAATCGAACAAGACAGTATGACAAACTATATAACATTTCATTGAATATAAAATATACCCTGAATACTTTTCTTTGTTATTGTTGCCCACATTGCCCAGGCTGGAGTGCAGTGGGGCAAACATGGTTCACTGTAGCCTTGACTTCCCAGGTTCAGGCGTTCCTCAAACAATTGCCTCCTGAGTAGCTGGGACTACAGGAATGCACCACCCATACCCAGTTAATTTTTTGTTATTTTTAGTAGAGATGGGGTTTCACCATATTGCTCAAGCTGGTCTTGAACTCCTGGGCTCAAGATATCCTCCTGCCTCACCCTCCCAAACTGCTGGGATAAAAGGCATGAGCCACCACGCGTGGCATACCCTTAATACTATCTATTAACTAACTCAGCGGTATCTGTATCTTCTCATTCATCCTACCTAAAAACTTAGTATCTGCTAGACTCATCCCTCTCTTCACTCCTCACATCCAGTATCAGTCACCAAATCCTACCTATTTTACCTCATATATATTTCTCAAATTTGTCACCTCTTTTCTATCTCGACCTCAATTATCCTGGTTATCCTTTAGAAAGCTCCAGAAAATTAGTGTCCCTCTTTCCAGTCTTATCCCCAAAATCATATTTCATTTAGCTGCCAGAGTAATCAACCTAAAAACAAACCTGACTAGACAAGGTGCCAGTTTAAAATCAGAGATTGCCATGGACTACAGGATGGAGTCCAAGTTTAAGGATACTAAGGCCTTTGGTCATCGGGACCTAGACTCATCTGTTTTTTTTTGTTTTTTTTTTTGTTTTGTTTGACAGGATCTCACTCTGCCACCCAGGCTACAGTGCAGTGGCACAATCACAGCTCACTGCAGCCTCAAGCGATCCCCCAACCTCAGTCTCCAGAGTAGCCAGGACTACAATTGAGCACAACCATGCCCAGCTAATTTTTTCATTTTTTGTAGAGATGGGGTTTCACTATGTTGCCTAGGCTAGTCTCCAATTCCTGGGCTCAAGGTCTTTCTGCCTCAACCTCCCAAAAAGCTGGAAATTAAAGGCATGTGGCACTGCTCCTGGCCTCCTCTTCCTTTTCTTCCCTTTTTGAGGCCTAAAAGTATGGATCAGTGTTTTTCAAATTAGGATATGCAAGTATCTGATTAAAAACGTCAAGACTTATTACAGCTAGAAACGGTACATCTTACTAAACTTACAACATCAATTTTGGTGAAGATTTTTTGAGAAAGACATTTGATATTAAATACAAAAGAGAATGCAAAATTTGTATGACTGCTTAAGTCAAAATCCAACAAAGATGGCACTGATAGCAGGCAACTTTGAGCATTACACTGGGGTTCTGAATGGGGATGGTGCTGACACTCTTGTCAGTACAGATGAAAAGTCTAACACTATCAAACTCTGATCATTTGCCAATGAGCCACTGACTGTAACACTGAGAACTTAATTATGCCAGATGACAGCTGACACTTAATATTAATTCATTTTTTAACCATCTCCAAGACTGTATAGGACCTCATCTCTACTCCTCTCCTCCTCGTTCTTTCTACACTAGCCACATGGCATCCTTGTTGTTCCTGGTACACAGTGACCCACTCTAGGGTCTTCCTCTGCCATTTCCTGTCTAAAAACGTTTTCCCATAGAACACGGCTCCCTTTCTCAACTCCTTGAAGCACTTCCCCAGATGTTGCTTTCTTAATGTGGTCTATCCTGACCTCCCCATTTCCCTTATCAATTACCAACATTATTCTAGAGTAATAACGTCTATTTGCCTCTTTATATCATTTTCCTTATTTATTGTGCTTATTATTTGGTTCCCTACCAGAATGTAAGTTGCATGCCAGTAGTATTTTTGTCTTATTCACTGAATCTATTGTGTCTAGAAAAGTGCTTAGCACATTGTAGATTCTCAATGAATGCACAGTCCTACGAAACAGGTATTTCTCTTGGCCAGATTTTACCTAAAGAAGATTCTGAAGCAGTGAGAGCTTGCCTACAGTCACAGCGTCAAAGGCGGAGCTAGAATCTGTAAGCAACCTGGCTCTCTACTCTTCACCATTGCTGCATGTTACTGCATGGTGCCTCTCATTTATGTGGTGAATTTCAAAAATACTTTTTTCTATGTTTCCCTTACTAGACAGTTCCCTCGCAGCAGGGGGATACTATCTTCATCTCTGTGCCCTGACTGGCAGTTTCTAACCCATGTTACACGTTCTATTAATTGTCTACGGAATGAATGAAAGCATGAATGAACACATAAGCTGCCCAAAGATTTTTACATGAAAGTCCCAACTGGTTAAATCATTTTTACCTTTCAGATTTCGTTTTAAACTTTTTTATAAAAAACAAAACCAAAACACCAAACCTGTCTTCAAAAATCTAGTAATTCAAAAAATGCTTTTTGAAGTGAAAAAACATGATTTCTAAAAAACGATTTAATTAAATGGAAATGTACCCTATTCTAAAAATTTCTACATTCCGGTTTTTAAAGCTTTATTCGACGTCAGGAAATATTAAGCAAAAACCTCCAAAACCAGTAACTGACTCGCTTCATTATATACACATGCAATAATATTAAGTTATCTCCGATCAAAAAAAACGCAAATAATAGTGCCATTTTCGTAGACATTGAGAATTATAAAACAATCAATCATGCCAGAGAGAAACAAACACCTTCACTTACAAGAACTGACGCTAACGAAAACACCCTCCGGAGCAATACCTGGCCCAGGGTCAGCAGGAGGTAGCCTTCTCGAATAAATGTGACAAATACTATGGTCAGGGCATGACTAATTTGCCACATAATGCCAACGTCCATAGGTTGACTCTGAGAAACTACCATCCCAGGGCAGAAGGGGCGGGTGTAGGAGAGATTTAAAAACGAGGCCCCTCCCAGGCCGCCTCAAAATCTAGGGCCCAAAGATTCTTCTCCTCAGAGCTCCTCACCGTGTCTAGACTAGGGGCAAGCGACCATTTCTCAGGTAGAGGATGACGCACAAAGGAAAACCTGGCCATCCAGCATGAAGGACGAGGAAGCGCACGAAAACAGAGCGCACAGCTGAACGAGGAATCCCCTTCGCCTAACCGATTCCTCTCCCGAGAAATCGCGAGATTTCTCGCCTTCACGGGATCTCAAGGCGAAACCTCGCGGCCTCTCAGACGAGGGTGGGTTAGCAGGGGCAGCTCCCAACCCCCGTCCCGGACCCACACAACACCTCGACCCCTGGCCCACCCCGGCCGTCACCGAGAACGGTCCCCCAGAGTGCCTAGGTTCTTCCGGAGCCCGACCGGATCCGGAAGCTTCTGGGAGCGAGGGGGTGGGACCGAAAAAAATCAAAAAAAGCGCGGCGAAAGCTAAAGGCCGGCGCAGGCTGAGAGGTGGTGGTCCGCAAGCCGGGCCGCGGCCGGTGCGATGGACTCTACTGCCTGCTTGAAGTCCTTGCTCCTGACTATCAGTCAGTACAAAGCCGTGAAGTCAGAGGCGAACGCCACTCAGCTTTTGCGGCACTTGGAGGTGAGAGGCTCTGGGGTGGAGGACAGATGGGGCTTCCCTAGTAATTCTTAGTTCACAGGCGGCCTCAGCCTGGGAAAGAAAGGACGGTCCTTCGATCTGTCTGTTGTCTTTTCGTACTGGTAAAGGCGAGTGAGTGTCGGGGTTCCGCCGGCTGCAGCGAGAGGCAAGAGCGCCCACTGAAGGCTCTAGGAAAAGTGGGAGTGGGGCAAAAGGTTGGGAAGTTTAGGCTGTGTTTCGAGTAGGTAACGGAAAAAGCTCGGAGCTTTATCTTTTCCTTTGTTTCTAGTTTTGGTTTTTCTACGAAACCAAGCCCTCAATACACAGCTATTCTCAGTGACGGAAAGTCATGATTAAAACTTGGTTTTGCTCTTCGGTAATCTATAATTGAATTTGTTGCTTCCTGCTCTTATTTGAACTCGAGTTGAACTCAAACTTGAAAAACATTACTTCAACCTTAAGAAGCAGTTCCCCTTCCTAGTAAGCGTAATCCTTTTTCTTTACCAAAATACATTGCTCACAGTTTTTTAATCCTAGAATGCTGAATTGCCTTTTTTTCTGTTAGTTCTAGTGATATGTGTTCAGACGATACCATTTGTTTTCGGATCTTAATCTTCTGCTGTCATTTGTTTTGCATTTACGGAATTCAGACTAACATTGACCTCAGTTTAATTTTTTTTAAAGCTGAGTTAAGGCTTATTTTAACTCTCTGTGTCACAGCTTTCTTCTGTTAAGACAGAATTGAACATAATTTTAAAATATATTGTATTTGTTATATTAACCCTATGACAAAAGACTAATGTGCCAAAGATTTGTAAAATATTACAGAAAAAAAAATGATTTCAAGTAGTAGAGCAACAGCAGGTGTTAGTGAATCTGCTGTGGTATTAAATGTGTCTGTCTTGAGCTTCACTGGCGCTCCTCTTCTCCCTACTTCACGTGCCCATCTCCTAAGTACATCTGTTTTCTCTTTTTCATTCATTACTTAAGAAGTATCTGCAAACCTAATTAAGATGTTAGCTATTAAATGCTTAAGGCTTTGCTTCTGAATTAGCGTAGACTCCAGAAGCCGCAGAATAAGCCGGGCCGTCAGTTTATTTTAAAAATTGGGAGTTAAGCATTTTGTATGCCGTTCTGAAACATTACCTTTCTTTGAATAAACATGTAGGTTGTGCATTGAAAGAGATTTAAGGCCAGGCACAGTGGCTCACACCTGAAATCCCAACACTTTGGGAGGCCGAGGCGGGCGGAACACCTGAGGTCGGGAGTTCGAGACCCCCCTGGCCAACATGGCGAAACCCCATCTCTACTAAAAATACAAAAATTATATGGGCGTGGCGTCTCTCTGTTGTCCCTGCTACTCGAGAGGCTAAGGCAGGAGAATCGCTTGAACTCAGGAGGCTGAGGTTGCAGTGAGTCGACATCGCACCACTGCACTCGAACACTCCAACATGGGTGACAGAGCGTGACTCCGTCTCAAAAAAACAAAAAAAAGAGAGAGACTTAAACAAAATATGGGATGGGGTCTTTACTGTATTCCTAAACATTCAAGCGGTTTACAGAAAACTCTTCTACCGTTGTTGCAAAGGTATGAAGAGCACTGGCTTCAGGTTACTACTACAAAGGAATTTTTGTAATTAAGAGATAACACATACAGAGCATAAAATGCATTAATCTTAAGTGAAGAGTTTGATAGTTTTTAATATATAGGTACCGTAGCTACCATATTGGTAGCTAACATATAGGTAGAGTAGTAGCTACCACCTGTATCATGATATAGAATATTTCTAGCCCCATAGGGTTTCTTCATTGCCCCTTCACATAAGGTTCAGGTAAGTAGACTCATACAGTATGTACTCTTGTGTCTGGCCTTTTCCACTCAATATAATCTGTGAAATTCATGTTGCACAGGTACCACTACTTCATTTCTTTTTTATTATTATTGCTGTGTAGAGTTCTATTGTATAAGTGTACCACAGTTTACATATACTTGCCTGTTGATAGGCATTTGGGTTGTTTACATTTCTGGGTGGAATTATGAATAAAGCTGTTGTAGACATTTCATACATTTTCGTGGATATATGCACACATTTATATACTTACGAGTAGAATTGTTAAGAGCATTGAGAAGGCCTGTGTTCTGTTTTAGTTGAAACTGTCAAACCATTTTCTGAAATAGGCCATTTTACCTTCCCACTAGCAATATGTGAAATTTGCCATCACTCATCCACACCAAACCTTGATGTTTTCATATTTCTTAACTTTAACCATTTTGGTTGACAGTATTTGTATTTTTAATGGTGAATGTCTTTGTGCAGACTTCATGAGTGCGAGATCTGAGTATGCAGAGAGAGATAGGTATCATGTGAAAGGAGATTATTCATTCTTCTGTACTTCTCCCACCCTTTTTTATAGCCCCATGCAGAGTGTAGGCTTTGAATGTTTGATGACTGGCAAAGTTGAGCTAATCTGATTTTTAATGATGGTATTTCATAGCACTAATTTTGTGTAGTGATTAAAAGCATGAATTCAGGGACCAAGCTGCCTGGGTATGAATTCCAGTTGTGCTTCTTTACTATCAGTGTGTGCCTCAGTTTACTCATCTGCAGAACAAAATAGTGGTACCTACCTTACAGAGTTATTATGAAGATGAAAAGAGTTCACATATGTAAAGTGCCTAGATCGATGCCTAGGCCAGAATAAGCGCTATATAAGTATTAGTTATTATTAAAATAAATTATCTTTGTATTAAGACATTCAGTGTATATGAGTAAAGGGAAAAACTTGTAAAACAATTTTTATTTTACCTAGTACATATAATTATTACGTGTTAGACAATTTATGTCATTGAGACACAGGACCAATCCTGTAGAGAATCATTTCTAAAACAGAAAATGTCTTCCTCTGGAGAGCTAGATTTATAAATAAGCAACAGGGTAATGCCCAGAGTATTTCCTACCCCAGAATATCTGTTACTAGTGTCTGTACTTTCATATTTGGACTTATTTTTTCTCTTATAGACTTTTACTTTAGTAATGTTAAAACACTCCCTGGGAACAGATAATGTGAAACTTTTATCAGCAAAGCTTTAGAAGAAAAACTGATGTGGGTGAGACAACAAAGGGAGGATACAGAAAGGAAAGTTTAGAGGGATGCTAAAGCAGCCTGCTTAGGCTTGATCTTATTAAAATAAGTATTCAGGACAGATTTAGTCTTATTCTAAGGTAACTAATGGTTTTTCTATCTTTGTAGAAAAGATATGCTTTATAATAAATACATCTCTAAAGTGTGTTGAAAGTTCATGCTTTGTGACAACTGCTTTTGGCCTTCAGTTCCAGCTTTACCTCCTCTCTTCTCTCTCACTCTGTGTGTGTGTGTGTGTGTCTGTGCATGCATGTATGTGACTTATAGATTACAATAAAGTAAAAGAAAATGGAATAATCAGAAATAAAATTTTTCAATGCTTTCCCTGCTACTTCAAAAAAGATTCACTTTTCACTTCCTTCTTTGTACTCCCTTAACTTCTGAGCTCACCTATTGTCTTTGGGAAGGAGCAGAAGGAATAATCCCATAGCTACCCTCTGGGCTTCATTTTTCATTTTTCTCCCTCAAAGTGAGTAGAATGTACTAGAATTTATTTGCAAAGTAAATATATTGGTAGTAGAGTGCAGATTTGTAGGCTATGCCTTCATTGCATGTTCAATGTAGTGTGAAGGAGAAATATTGCCAGCAACTCAAAAGTTTGCTAACTTAGGAAATAGAAATATAATGTACTGTAGGGTAGTATAATAGGCAGACCTAACCGAGATAGTGTAAGAAGCTAAGAAAAGCTTCCTGGTGGAAATTATTTTAAACTGAGATCCAAATGATTACTTTAGCTAGTGAGGGAAGGATTAGGGAATTGATAGGTAATCTAGGCAGGGGTGAATTTTTCACAACATGTGTGAAATTTTTAAATTGGGAAGGTAGCAGTGGCACTTTGAAGGAACTGAGTTTATTTGAAATGGAGAAGAGATAAAAATTGCCATCTCTTAACCAAGACATTTTGATTACTATTTTATAGGTAATTTCTGGACAGAAACTCACACGACTATTTACATCAAATCAGATATTAACAAGTGAATGCTTGAGTTGCCTTGTAGAGCTACTTGAAGACCCCAACATAAGTGCTTCACTGATCTTAAGTATTATTGGTTTGCTGTCTCAACTAGGTAATGCATTTAATTTCTCTTTTTTAGTTTTTGGAAGATGTATGAACAATATTTTAAAGTGCAGGCTTAGTTATAGAATCTCTTAAAGAATGATTCGCCTTCAAAGACTTCTCAATCTAATGCTCATTGTGAATCTTTTGAGAGAGGGAAATATTTTATGCATCATTTCTAAAAATATTGGACCAAGGAATCTGAAGCGTGTGAAAGGTTCAGTGTTCTACAGAGAAGAATGCACTTTGGGAAATACTGGACTACTTTTGAATTAAAAAACAAAACCCCACACGTAACGTCAGTATTAAATACACCACTAGAAAGTCATAGCTACTGATCAAAGAATCATCTTCTGTAATAGATTACACTGAATTTAGAACTAAAGGTAAAAGTACTGATGTTAGTTTTTCTATCTTTTCACCATATCTTTAGTTTTTTTTTTCTTTTAAGACAGAGTCTCGCTCTGTTGCCCAGGCTGGAGTGCAGTGGTGCAATCTCTGCTCACTGCAAGCCCCGCCTCCCAGGTTCATGTCATTCTCCTGCCTTAGCCTCCCGAGTAGCTGGGACTACAGGCGCCCACCACCACACCTGGCTAATTTTTTGTGTTTTTAGTAGAGATGGGGTTTCACTGTGTTTGCCAGGATGGTCTCGATCTCCTGACCTTGTGTTCCACCTTGGCCTCCCAAAGTGCTGGGATTACAGGCGTGAGCCACTGCGCCTGGCCTGGTTTTTGAATGTTCATTTAGTGGTCACTTTACCCCAATTTGGGGCAGGGCAGTAGGGATATTTCTTTGTGTGATTATAATAATAATATATGCATAGTTTAAAAAATTCTAGTGATCCAGAAGTATTAACACAGAGCAGCATTGTCCAATAGAATTTTCTTCAGTGACAGAATGGTTTTAAAACTGTGTTATCCAATATAGCAGCCACTAGCCACATGGAGCTATTAAGCATTTGAAGTGTGGGTAATAGACTAAGGAACTGAATCTTTAATTTTAATTAATCTCAATTTAAATAGCCACATGAAGGCTACTGGCTGCCAAATTAGACAGCCCAGGCATAGAGTAAAATGGGATTAGCCTGTACCCATTACCACCAACCCTGATCTTTTCAGCTTTGGGGATATAATCTCATTTCATGGCTTGATATGTCTCTTTGCAGATATTTTTCTATGCTGTAACAAAACAATAATTTTGGATCTTTAATTGGTTGTTTTCAGCACAAATGGTGTTGTGGAACACCAGATGTTTCTTTCCATATCAGTATCTGTAATAGCTGCCTAGTGCCATAATTACAGGGTACTGTAATTTATTCAACTATTCCCCTAATAGTGGATACTCACAGTTCTTTAAGTTTTGGTATTGGAATCAATAGTGCAGTGAACATTCTATGTAATTTTGCTCAAATATTAGTGTGTTTCTATTAAATTCCTTTAGAATTTCTAGATCATTCTAAAATTTGATAACCATTACTAAATTGCTTTCCAAAAAGATTCTTCCACTTCTAACATCCACCAACAGTTTGAATGAATATGCCAGTCACTTCCAACATTTATACTTTAGAAGCATTTGGAGTTTACAAAAAAATTGAAATGATAATCTTTTTAAATTTTTTCACAGATACATAATATTTATACAAACTTATGGGGTACATACGATATTTTGTTACCTGCATAGAGTATGTGATGATCAATTCAGGGTATTTAGGATATCCATCACAAACAAAGATTTATCATTTCTATGTATTCAGAACATTTCAAGTCTTCACTTGTAACTATTTTGAAATATACAATACATTGTTAACTATAGTCACCTTACTCTCCTATCAAACATTAGAACTTATTCCATCTGATTGTGTGTTTATATCCATTAACCAATCTGTCTTCATCTCCCCCACTAACGGCTCCCCCTCCTCACCCTTCCCATCACCACATACTCACCCATATTCTTCCCAGCGTCTGGTAACTGTCGTTTTCCACTTCCGTGAGATCAACTTTTTTAGCTCCTACACATGAATGAATACATGCAATATTTTTCTTTCTGTGTCTGGCTTATTTCACTTTACATAATGGCCTTCAGTTCCACCCATGTTGCTGCAAATGACATGCATTCTTTTATATAGCCAAATAGTATTCCATTGTGTAAATATACCATAAAGTGACAATCTTTTAATATTCAAAGTAAGAGATTTTAATTTGATACTAAAATAAATTAGTATCAAAGAAAAAGCTTGCTACAAATGTGTAAAGTTTTTTCTTTGATACTAGTTTATTTTACATAGAGAAATCATTTGAATTTCTGAATTAGAGGGTTATGGAAAAGAAAATAGCCATATCATACCTTTTTAAATGATAAAGTCATATGAAATAAATTCTGTATGAATTATCTGTGAAAACCTTATAAGAAAATGATATATTTTGTGCTATTTTATTTTAACTTACAGCTGTAGACAATGAAACCAGAGATTGTCTTCAGAATACATATAATCTGAATAGTGTGCTGGCGGGAGTGGTTTGTCGGAGCAGCCACACTGATTCGGTGTTTTTGCAGGTATACACACCCACACAGTATATTCCCCTTTCCTTATTGTCAGATCAAAATTGATAGTTTCTGTCATAAACTGCTGACTTACAGTGTATATGTGCTATGTAATAAATACTACGTAATTAGGCACAGTTCATCTGATTAAAAGCTGGTTGCACACATACTACAATTTAAATATTTCTAGAGAAGAGGAGCTTATCCATTTCTAGCACCATTATTGAAGAAAAACAAATCTACATTGTAACTGCTTTGACTTATAAACACAGATGTCTGTGTTTTGAGACATAAGCTATTTATATTAAAATTGTAATGCGAGTTGGCATCTAGTCTCAGTCTGTGGAGGAAACGTTCTACAAAAATTAAAGCTATAGATATAGTTTATTTAATATAGATTCAAAGCTCTTCGTATTTCATTGACTCTAAAATGTCATCAGTTGTAAGAAAGAAAAACATCACAAATTAAATTGACATGCAGTTTTAGAGATGATAAAATGTGAAGAAGGGTATCTTCTAATTGATGGACTACATGTGTTTCAACCTGCATTCAAGTTTAAGATGACTAAGTGAACAAGGTTGATAACTCTGTTCTGAGACAGAATACATAGAAATGTGTGAATTGAGAGAAGAGCCCTAAAGTTCTTGCATTACTTTATATGTGTTTTTTAAAAAAATTGTTTTAGGTAATGGAAAAGGACATGCTCAGAATGTGTCTGATAGTCCATTATTTTAAGCAGGCGATGTTTTCATATGTTTATATTTATAACTATTTTCTTATTCTCAGTGCATTCAACTTCTACAGAAGTTAACATATAATGTCAAAATTTTCTATTCTGGTGCCAATATAGATGAATTAATTACGTTCCTGATAGATCACATGTGAGTATGCAATCAAACATAAAACCAAATAGTCTATTTGTTTATTTTTAAACTATAACCATGTGGTAGATCAATTTTCTTAGATAACATTTTCTAACTATGTAAACTGAGTGAGACTCCGATTCTTATTTGTTCTGCCCAGATGATTTTAAGGATCAAAAGTTGTAAAAGTATGTGACCTCATTCATTGGTGAAAAAATGTAAAAAGGAAAAAAGTTGTAAAGCAGCTTTAATTTTCATAAGAAAAATGTATAGACCGAATTGATTTGGCCAGAAAAAAATTGCTGAAACTGAAAATTGTGTAGTTATTCTTGTAGGAAAATATACTGATGAAACAGCACATGGTCCACGCTGACAGTTATTTCCAGGTTTTCATGATGGAATTGAATAGGGTAATTTGGTTTTAAAACAAGAGATAAATGATCAATACTGTTTAGAGTTTCCCTGGCTTCTCATGTTAATTAGATTTTTTTTTTTTTTTGGCCTTTAAAAAGGAAAAGTATAAACTTAACTATATCATTTTGACTTAGAATGACGTTAATGCTTTTTTTCTTTTACTATTTTTTCTTTAAACAAAACACTAATGTAAAACAACAGTCAATCTTCTGAAGATGAGTTAAAAATGCCTTGTCTAGGATTATTGGCAAATCTTTGTCGGCACAATCTTTCTGTTCAAACACACATAAAGACATTGGTAAGAAGTTTATTTCTTTTTAATTTTGTTGTTTTATGGTAGATTCTCTGCTTAAAGAAAATTGTATTTATCTTTTTCTTTAAAACAAATTTGAACAAGGATTCTGTGTCTTACTGGCTGACCTATCAAAATTAAGAGTCAGATTGACATATAAATAACTTGAAGCACTTCAGCCTTCCTGTATGTTGTATTGAAGGCTGTGTGTTAATGGTTAATGCAAATACTTAAGTTTTCCTTAGCATGGCATCCCAAAATACACTGAGTAGTACAAGAATTACTAAATTATTTTGTGCTCTTAGAAGGGAGGCGCATCACTGGCAGTCCCATTTACCTCAGTCTTGTGTTTCCACAAAATCAATGGCAACTCCAACAGAAAGATTCATGAGTTTAGTGCTCAGTATGAACCAACAGTACTTGTGATAAGTGAAGACACACAAATGAATTTAACTGAATCACTTTTAGAAGTATATTAAATTGGCCAGGCACGGTGGCTCACGCCTGTAATCCCAGCACTTTGGGAGGCCGAGGTGGGCGGATCACAAGGTCAGGAGATCGAGACCATCTTGGCCAACATCATGAACCCCGTCTCTACCAAAATAAAAAAAATTAGCCAGGCGTGGTGGCACACACCTGTAGTCCCAGCTACTCAGGAAGCTGAGGCAGTAGAATCGCTTGAACCCGAGAGGTGGAGGTTGCAGTGAGCCGAGATCACGCCACTGCACTCCAGCCTGGCAACAGAGTAAGACTACATCCTAAAAAAAAAAAAGTATATTAAATCAAGCAAGTTAGTGATTCTTTAAGGTGCTTTGTGAACAATTTCCCTGCTGTGCTATTCAGCATTACCTGTTTGATTTTAAATTTAATATCTCACTTGTTCAAGTGCTACATTTTTCTACCCTGGTCCTACTTTGTAGGTGGAGTTACTATGTGTGTGTGTGTGTGTGTGTGTGTGTGTGTGTGTGTGTGTGCGCGCGCGCGCACACACATGTATGTATAGTGTGTGTTTTTCAATTTCTGAATTGAAAAAGTTCATATTTAGGAAACACTTAAATATAAGGAAGAATAAACATTTGCTCATAGTTCCATGTGTAGAAACTGTTCTTCACTAAGATTGTGTCTATCTATACGACTGTCAGCAATATAGAAAGTACCCATCTCGCTCACACCTGCAATCTCTTAAATCTAAATGATAATCAGCAGCAAATATGGCAAAGTTAATTGCTGCTCCACGGTGTGTAAT